GATCACAATGCCAAGTAGCCTGTGATTAAGGTGGGGAAAGTGGTTAAGGTTGAAAAAAAAAAGACGGATGTGGGGCTACACGTATTAGCCCAAGAATACCGAATTGGAGAGATGGGGGAGGCTTTATGAAGCCACGGGTGAGGAGAAAATGTGATTAGGATATAGTAAGGATGAAATTAAACGGAATGGAATGGAATGGAATCCATTAATACTATTGCAAGATAGCAAGCAGTTTTTGAGGTACTGACAATTAATGAAGAATGATGCTAAAATATTTTATAGAATTGGTTAATATAATAGCTGATCTCTTTAAATACAGATCTTTTTGCATATAGCGAATAAAGTGATAAAAGCATTTTTTAGAAAGTAAGACAAGTTATTCTCTGGCAATACGAACGTTGCATAGTCTCTCATCATTTGTGTGCCATATATATTTTTCTCGGTCTCCATAATCCAGTTCTAGTTTCCACAACTCAGAGTCCACGGCATCTCGCCTCTACTGGATCTTTGGATTGTGTGTTACCATTGACAAGGGCTTGGCTGTCAGGCATTTATTTGGGGAAATGGGTCAATCTTGACAAAGATGGCAGCTTAGAGTCCGAGCAAAAGAGGTCTACTATCATAGACAAATAGAGCGGGTGATAATTATAATAGTTGATATTTTAGGTTTACCGTGACGAAAAGGTTACACTAGTGCAACTGCTTTGGTTCACAAGTACACAGTCTATAGACATGCTAGCTAATGTGCTTTATTATCATCATACTCGGGTATCGGTTGCGAGACAGACAGCGGAACAGGTCTCCATTTTATCTGCAATCTTTTGCCTATCCCCCCTGTTAGTTTATAAGTAGCACCCGGCCTGTGTGTCACAAATTTAGCGTATCAATCCTAACTAACCATATATATTAGACTTACTTTGCCAATAATAAAAATTATCCGGCGTTGCGTTCCGTTTGTTCAACTAGAAAAATGATGCTCAAAGAGTCAACCTGATAATTGGGATCAAGCAACAACAGTACATGGGACGATTATCTTTCAACCTTTTGCCATATTATTCTCTTTATCAACGGTAACGACGAAGCGCGACCCCATCATTTCTCAACATTATTCATCCACGCAACAATTCATCCTCTTTCAACTCGAGATTCCCTCTCATACACAACTAATCTTTTTCTTTTTCAAATCTTTTCAAATGCTCTCAGGGCCGCCTCAAAAGCAACAAATGTTGCCGCATTAACCGGACCAGCACGCAAAATACACGTACCAAAACCGCGAAAGAACCCCTTGACACCTTCAATTCTATACGTTTTCCTCGCACAATCGATCACGCCGTTATACTTTTTTGTTTCTAGAGTAAACCCGTCAGTCTGTAATTTGCTTTTTAACACGTCGACAGGATACACGCTTGTCCACATGGCATAACCGGCAAGCGCACCAAACAAGCACGGTTTCCAACTGGCAAGTTCATCGCGTGATTTATGTTCGTGCTTCATTGTTTGTTGCATGAGGTATTCGTAGGTAAGAAAGTATGCCC